GAAACAAAGACTGGAAGGAGCAGATTGAGGGGCCTGCTTTGGCGGTGATGAGCAATCACCTGGAGGTGGGTCCTGTGGGCTGGATGAAGGAGCTGTGACTCGGGTGAGTGGGTTTGGATTTTCAGGGACAGATCTGGGTCATGGTCGAAGTCACTTGTTGAATGAAAACCGCAGTGTTCACTGCTTCAGGAAACTGCCTTCTCCTGTCCCTATTTCGTGAGTCTCTCCCTCCATCCTTTTCTGGCAGCATTGATGTTCCATCATCTTTAATTAAAACACACACACACACACACACACCCACACCCCTTCATGTTCCTTCACAGCCTAACCCTAACCCTTGAATTACCTCTTATATCCACTCACTTCATCCCCTTACCTCTTGCTCCCTCCTCCACCCACTAAGATCTGGCTGCTCCACCCCCACGACCCTGCCATGGTTTTGGACAAAGATCCTATTCCAGTTCTCACCTGACATGGACCACTCCACCTGCCTGAAGCCCCCTTCACCTTAAAAACCACTACTGTCATCTCGACTTGGACTTATTTCGACACTCTATCAAGTTTCTGAGGTTATAAATCTTTACTAGTCAGGAGACTTTCTCCTGTGGAATGGTTGGTGGATTTGAACTTTCGATCTTTCAGTTAGCAGCCTGTGTATTACACACTATGCCATCAGGCTCCTTCCCTTGACCTTATTTCTTTTCTCCCTCCCTCCAAGCTTCTTCCCTCTGCAGTTGCTCCTATACCCTTCCAGGACTCACCATTTACTGTCCAGCTCTTGATTGGAGGGTATAGTCCTTGTAATTCTGTTAGCCTTCTGCCCAACCCACCTGCCTGTTCTCCCTGAGAAAGTTCCAGTCCCTTGACTTCAGCCAGAGCTGAATTCCCAGACCTCTTGGCTGTCCTGCATTGTCTACTAAAGACCTTTTTTATGTCACTATTTCCAAAGCTGACCCCAGCCTTCCTTTTCCACTCCCTTGCAGCCTCCTCCCAGTAAAAAGGCAGCCTTTTCTTCCACTTGATTCCCTATCCAGACCTAGGTGCCTTTTTGGTCTCTGCTCTCCTGTAACTCCCTCCTACCCCTTGTTGATTAAATCCCATTCATTCTACCCCTCAGATGGCTCTGAAATCTGTCCTAGTAAAACCAAACGCACTGCCGTACGATTGATACAGACTCATAGAGACCTTCTGTTGTGTTTCTGAGGCTGTAAATCGGAGAAGGTACAGACTGCCTCAACTTTCTCCTCTGGAGAAGCTGGTGGATTTGAATATGCTGGTTTTCCTGTTAGCCACCTAACACACAATGCAATACACCACCAGGGCTCTGGACTTTTCTTCCTCTAGCTTCCTGCTTTGCAAGTCCCATCCTTTTCAGTCCACCGAACCCCAGTGTTGGGGACCGTTTATTCTGTTTCTCTGGAGGAAATTATGCCTGGAAGAAATGAATACATAAAGACACAAGAGACAAACAACATACAGAGACAAGATAGGAATGTCTCAGCCAGGAATAGCTGTGTTGTCTATTTATTTATACCTTTTAGAAACAGATAGCTTACACGGAAAAAAACCCCTTAAGGGTTACATCATAGAGCCCAAACAGGCCGGGTACAAGTACAAACATTAAGGTATATCTTACTGGGCCTGAATGGACTGAGATCTGAGTTCCCCAGGAGTTAAGACAACAGGCTTTTAACAAATAAGCAAGAAAAAAAATGAATAACATATTGTGCACAATCTACTTCTGATTATAACTTGCTATAATTAATATAACTGCGACTGCCATGCAACTGCCGAGAACAAAGGAATATTCATTTATCGGGAAGAGTTACTTTTCTTGGGCTAGTTTGCAGGACCCAAGTCTCTTGTCTGTGAGCAGAACTAGGGAACAAGTCTCTTCCCACACTCTCTCCTTAGTCTGGCTTTAGGATAGGTGTCTGGAGGACATCTGGATGCAGATTGTTCTCCCAAAATTTCTGTGCTTCGGCTATGCTCTGGCTCCATCACCCCAGCACCTTAGCAGGGTCTCTTACTCCCTCAGTTGCCTCTCACCCTCTCAGGCTCAAAGCCCTTTTTCAGTAGCTGCCCCTAGTTTTATATAACCTCTAGTTATGGTTCAGATTGCATTGCAGGCTCTCGATCAGCAGACCACTCCCATTGAACACACTTGGTCACTATCCACTTAAGGAGGTGACCTAGCCAGGGAGCTCTGGGGGCCTGGAAGTAAGAAGCTACATAGCAACCCCAAAGACATGTGGTTTGAATCCATCAGCTGCTCTGCAGTAGAAAGATGGGCAATCTCTTCCCATGCAATTAATTGCCTCTAAAAACCTGCTAGGGTTAGCTATGGGTCGGTTATGACTTGGTGGTACACAACCACGACCACCAGGCTGAAACCTTCATCTACTGTCTACTGGTTCCTATAAATTTGCAAAAGCTCAGGCTTTTTTTTTTAAATTAAATTTTATTAGTTTTAATGAACATTTACAGAGATTTTGGGTTTTCATTCATTCATTGTTGCACTGTTTTCTCCACCCTACTCCCCAGTTCGTTCTTCTTCCCCCTCCATGTCTGTTTTAATTGTCCAATTGCCACAGTGCTTGTCAAAGCCAGTTCTGATTAATCTCCTTTGTCAGTGTGTCCCTTGCAAAAGCTCAGGCTTTTGACTGTGTGGATCACAACAAGCTATGGCTGACTCTGAGAAGAATGGGAATCCCAGAACATTTGATTGTGCTAACACAAAACCTATACTTGGACCAAGAGGCAGTCGTCAGAACAGAGCAAGGAGACACTACACGGTTCAAAATCAAGAAGGGGGTCCGTCAAGGATGCATTCTGTCTCCGTACCTTTTCAATCTGTATGCAGAACAGATCATCCGAGATGCTGGGCTGCATGAGGAGGAATGCGGCGTCAGGATTGGTGGAAGAGTCATCAACAACCTGCGTTATGCAGATGACACACACTGCTTGCTGAAACTGAGGAGGACCTGAAGCACTTGCTGCAGGTCAGAGACTGCAGCCTTCAATATGGATTGAAGCTCAACATCAAGAACACAAAGATTCTCACCACTGGGCCAATTGGCAGCATCAGTATGGTTGGTGAAGAGACTGAGATAGTTAACAGTTTTAGTTTACTTGTTTCCACAGTCAACACTCTTGGTAACAGCAGCCAGGAAATCAAGAGACAAATTGCTTTGGGAAAGTCAGCTGTGAGGGACCTCTCAAGAATACTGAAGAGCAACGACGTCAGGCTGGAGACTAAGGTGCACCTGATCCAGGCTAGTCTTTGCAATTACGTGCTATGCATCAGAGAGCTGGACAGTGAATAGGGATGATAGAAAGAGAATTGATGCCTTTGAGCTGTGGTGCTGGAGAAAAGTGTTGAATATACTACCATGGACTGCTTGGAGAACAAACAGGTTTGTCCTGGAGGTGAAGCCAGAATACTCCTTGGAGTCAAGGATTCTGAAGCTTCGTCTGACATACTTTGGGGATGTTGCAAGGAGGGACTGGTCCTTGGAGAGAGACATCATGTTTAGGAGAGTAGAGGGGCGGCAAAGGAGAGGAAGACCTTCGATGAAATGAATCGATTCTGTGACTGGAGTGGTGGGAACGAGCGTGTTTGAGATGGCTAGGTTGGCACAGGATAGAACAGTGTTTAGAGCTCTTGTACATAGGGTGGCCATGAGTTGCAAACAACTCGATGGCACATAACAACAACAACAACAACAGCCTTTAAAGCCCCTTCCTCTGTGAAGCCTACTTTGACTACTCCTGGGAGCTCACAGCTGGTGTCTGGGCTTGTTTTCTTCTGCCTTCCTGGCAAGGGAAGCCCTGGATGCGTCTCATCTCTTCTCTATACTCAAGGTCTTCGAGGCGTGACGCTACAGGGCATTGTTTGAAAGAAAAAAAGGACTGTCCCAATTGGGCAGAGCTCCCTGGTGCAGATGGTTTGTAGTGGTCATCTACAGATTAGCAGTTCGAACCTGCGCAGTGTATGGCAGGAGAAAATCCTGGAGATTTGCTTCCTGAAAGATTACAGTCTGGAAACTACAAAGTTCTAATTTGTAACCTGTAGGGGCCATAGGGGAGCCAACATGATTCCTTGGAAATGGGTTTGGTTTTGGACTTCCAGTCTTTTGGGCGAACCAGTTCCGGGTTTCCTGCTAGCTCTGTTCTGGTTCTGTAGGGGGTTTGGGATCACTGGAGCCTTTGGGATGGAAGCTGGTTGGTGCTAGGCTGGGTTTTTATAGGGTGGTAGCCTGCCATTTGTGTGCGTTCTGATGGCCTAGTCCATAGGGAGTTGCACCACTGTTGTTGTTCCAATCCATCAGACTCCACAGGAGAAAGATGGCCAAACTCCTCCCGGGCAATTTACAGCCCAAGAAAACCTGCTGGAGGGTCTGCTATGACTCCACAGCAGTGGATTTTCTTTTTTTGCTAGCTGGGACAAGGCGCATGTGTACTGCATGGAGGTTTCTAGCAATCTTAAGTCAAAGGGCAGCGTGTACTTGTGTTCGCCCAGGAAGCCAGATTCACAGACTCCTTCCTACAAGTTCTTGAGCCCTTCGCCTCTTCTGGAGTTCTTCCTGGAGTTCTCAGTGGCTCGCGTCCGCTGCTGCCCCCTAGTGGGTAGATGGATCCCACCCAGCTTGAGAAGCCAAACGTGTTTAAATACCTTTAATTTACAAAAAAAACAAACAGGAGAAACCTGGAACCGAGCAGCTAGGGAGGACCAGGCCCTGGCCCCTTGGCGGTCACAGCAGCAGAAGGCCGTGCAGAGTGCGCGTCCCCTCCCATAGGCCGGGGTCTCAGCCTGCAGCCCCTGCTCCACACCCCACCTCGTTCTCAAATTTAAGGCACAGCTCGCTCCAGGGTCCAGGAGCCCCTGGAAGGGCGTCCCTCAAGCCAGACACAGGGAGGGGGGCGCATTCACCATGGAGGCCGCGAAAATGCGAACAAGAGGCTTTAGTTTCACCCCTGCCGGCCCCAGCACCACCCCTCTAGGTTCGGTTCAGGCCGGCCGCGCGCGGCGTGGTGCTGGAGGGCAGCGTGGCGCTGGTGGACGGCGCGGCACCAGGCAGGCTGAGGATCTGGCGGATGCGCTCCACGCACAGCGCCGTGGCTTGCCGGGTCTCGCGGCACAGCGCCGCCAGGCTCAGGAAGCCGTGCGGCAGGTCCTCCACCGCGCGCAGTGTCACCGGCTGGCCCAGGGCGCGCAGCCGCCGTGCGAACATGACTGCGTCGTCCAGCATGGGGTCCAGAGCGCACGCCTGAAAGATGGCGGGGCAGGGGCGTCCGCGTGGGGGGCAGACAGAAGGGAGGAAAGGAAGGGAAACAGGTGGGCATGGGGATTGTAGAGAGAATAAGAGGGTGGGGGAAGAGAAGAATGTGTTTAACTGGGCCCTCCAGGACTGGCCACGTGTCCCCTAAAGTCCCACCTCTCTCCCCCACTCACATTCTTCAAGCCCTGTCTAGGCGCTCATTAAGACTGCCCCCCCCCAAAAAAAAGGGCCCAGCCACTTCCAGTTCCCAGACATTGCCCCTTCCTGGTCCTCTCCTCTAGGTCAAGGCTATCCCCGCTGCCCAGGACTCATCCTCCCTTGCGCCCACCTCCAGGCCCGCACGCTGTGTCCCCCAGGGCTCACCACGATGTGCACGGGCGGTAGAGTCTGCAGCATGCTGTCAGGGGCCAGCAGCGGTGACATGAAGGGGTTCTTGACGATGGGTGAGGAGTACATGGGCATCCGGGTGGGTCCTTGGCTTGAGCGCCGCGGGCGGAAGCCTTCAGGGAAGGTGGTGTTGGCACAAGAGATGGCGCTGTGGTAGCGGTTGTGGGCCTGCAGTCCTCTTAAGGACTTAGTCTCTTCAGGCACATCCTCAGGCCCCAGTAAGAAGTTGACATCCGAGGGCTTGCAGGGACCTAACGTCTCCGCTGACAGTGAGAGGTGGGAGGCTCCTGAGGTCTCAGAGCTGCCCCTGAGGCTCAGGTCCTGCAGAGTCAGGCTCTTGACTGTGTCTCCCTCCAGTGGGCCCTCGGGCTGGGCCAGCGCTGCTTCTGAAACGCTGCGCCTCATTGGCATTGGCTCTGCTAGGGAAGAGAGGGTCAGGATATGGGTCAGGTGCTGGATGTAGCCACAGGCTCCAGCCAGGCTGCCCTTTTGGCTGGATGGCAAGGCCATAGGAAGGGCAAGCAGTACCTGCAGCCTGAGCTGGATCCTAGCTCTGCGGAGGTGGGGGTAGGGGTGGTTGGGTGTTGTCCCTGCATCCCCTGCAGGTGGAGCTGTGTGCCAGAAAGAGGTGGGGAAGAGGGGACCGGCAAGGTTACCTGAAAGTAACTTTACCTCTGGGAATCTGTTTCCTCTACACCAAGGACAGGTAAGTCGTTCGTACCTCCTGGGAGCTGGTGAGGACTCAGTGGGGTAAAGTGTGGGATTAAGTACTGTGACCCAAGAGGAAGCCTTGTTCAAGCCATCAAGCTGGCTCCAGCACGAAGTGCCTGCCAACTCCATGGTTTCTTGACACAGGGGTGAGTGTTCCCAAGAGGGACAATGAGTAGAGCCACAGGAGAAAAAAAAAAAAAAAAAAGAGAACTGGGGCACATTAGACTTCAGGGACCCCTCGCCTGTAGACATATGAATCTTCTCCCCAAATCGGCTTTGTGTTCTTCAGTTTTCTCCCCCTCCTCTTGAGTGACTCGGGGAGCTCTTGTGGCCTAGTGGTAAGGAGTTGTGCTGCCAACCCAAAACCAGGTGCTTTGAATCCTCAGGAGAAGGATGAACAATCTCCTCTTGTACTATTTACAGCTTCTGAGGCCTGCTGGAGGGTCAGCTATGCGTTGGTTCTAATTCAACAGTACACAACAACTGGAGTGACTAGGGAATTCTGATAGTGTAGTCCGTAGTGAGCTATGCTGATAATTCAAATGCTGTGTCTCTTGGGTGGTTCAAATCCACCAGCACCTCTGCTAGAGAAAGATGGGGGGGGGGGTTCTTGTTCTGATTTTCAGCCTTGGGTACCTGATAGTTGTTGTGAGTCAGAACAGACTCAAAGGCAGTTTGGTGTTTTTTGAGTAACCAGGCAAGCAGTTGCCTGGGTAATTCTAAAGATACGCACCTGGCCAGCCCAGTTTCTCAGCTTTGTTAATTTTAATGATCAGGCCCACGTGGCTTAAATTAAGGCCACAGTTTTTTTCAGTTGTCCTTCTAAACCCAGAAGGTAAAATGCTTTAAGGAATGAGAATAATTGCACAAGTGCATTTTGACCCATTTAATGCCATCAGAGCCCCGGAGTCACAGGACACAGCCAGTCTGGGGTGCCGACATCTTCTAGACCACTTAATTTTTACCAGGTAGTGTGCTCGGCACTATCTGCACCTCAACCCTGCAAACTAGGTTCCCATGCTGTACAGTGAGTGGTGCAGACCCAGACTCGCAGATTACTTGCCACCCTCTACTAATGGCATCTCCATTCCCAGTGGTTTTTCACCCGGGTTCCTAGGTCTCTGAGAGAGCTGTCACCTATCAGGGTCTGCTGATTCCCACCCCTGGCTCCTCAGTCAGTGTCCATGGGGGATATTAGTCCCATGCGCCTCTGCTGAAAGTCTAAGGAAAGCCTTGACGAAGTTCCGAGAGCCTTGCCTGAGGGCCCAAGGGACCCAGTGGAGTTCTCAGAACTGGAAATTGGGACACGTGGCTGGCCTTTTGCGTCAGTTCCCAGGGTGTGGGGCTTTCCTGGGACAAAGTGGCATGGAGAGCAAGCCCAGCAATTCTTGGGATTTTGAAATAAGTCTCCAGAAAGTGGACGTTTGGGAAATCAACTGTGGTGTGAATCTGGGGTGGAGAAGGCACTCTCTCTTTCCCTTTTCTTGCCCAGCGTGCTGGTGTGCCAGGCAGAGGGTTCCACTCACCTGTCATGGGCACTGGGGTCTTGTGGGACTTGCGCCCACTCAGCTCCAGGAAAGAGTTGAGCCACGAGGAGGCGCCCACGCGGAGGTCTCGGAGAAGCAGGGCCGTGTCCCGCCGCACCAGGCCCATCATACCTAGTGCCTTCTGGTCCGAGTCAGAGTGGTCCTCTGTCTCCCCGCCTATGTGATGTATGGGGGGGGAGTGTCCTCTGGTCTCCTTTCTGGATTTCTCAACACCCAGAACTTCAGATACCCATCCATCAAGGAGCCCAAGAATCTCTCACTGCTTCAATAGGCACATGAAGTCTCAGGTTCCAGTCCCTTGGCCCTCATCCTTCAGATCCAGGTCTGGACCCCAAGTTCCCCTCCCTGTAGGACCCAGGAACCCTGTGGCACATGTGTGGACATGGGCCTCACCTGCATAGGCACTGACACACTTGGAGAGCACGCTGAGGGGCAGCAGGGGGTCCATGAGGCTCAGGAGGCGGGAGGGTGAGGCAGTGGGCTGCAGCATGGTGGCCGGGTAGGCAGCCATGATGCCATCTGGCACCCGAACCCCATAGGCCGCTGCCCGAAGGGACACGGTGAAGCAGAGGTTTCCACCAGCACTGTCTCCAGCAAGGCAGATCCGCTCTCCCGTTGAGCCTGGTGTGGGGCAGGGGGCTTAGTTAACTGCATGGAGGAGTAGGGACTAAAGGGGGAAGGGGAAAGACAGGGAAGAACCCAAGCTCTGGGCTAGGAGTACCAGACTCTCAGAAGTGGGGTTCCATGGTTTCTCAAAAGACTCACCACCATTGAGTCAGAACCAACTGATAGCTGACCCTCCAGTGAATTCTCTGAGGCTGTAAACGGCTCCTAGGAAAATGCCCATCTTTCTCCCTTGGAACAGCTGATAGATTTGAACTGATAACCTCTAGGTTGGCAGCACAACTCCCTACCTACTAAGCCACCAGAACTCCCTATGGTCTAGCGGATGATTAGAGGATGGTAAACCGATGCAGGATATGGGTCTATCTAGTAGTCATTGGTCAGAGGATCAGGAAAACTTGGGATGGGGAGAGGTTCAGAGAGGAGGCTGCTTGGGATGCTGTCGGGCATAAGCAAGGAGGGCAAGTGAGGGAAGGGAGGGGAGCATCTGAGAGACGAATGTCAGGGTTCAGGCTGCCAACACAGAAAAAGTGGGCTACAGTCCCCGGGCCCTGGTGTCCACATTCCTCCTCAGGAAACTAACCAACATTGGGAAGTGAAGCATGAGGTCAGTGGAGCTGGAAGACTGGGCTGGGGCCTGAGCAGGGAGGCTGGTGGTGGTGGTGTTAGGTGCCAATGAATCAACTAGCACCCACAGCAAACCCTATGGCCAACAGATCGGAACCTTGCCCTATGCCGTGCCAGCCTTCTCGTCTGTCATGCTTGAGCCCATGGTTACAGTCACTATTTCAATACTATTTCCTCTCTATCCCTGACCTTCCACCTTTCCCTGCATGATGGATCCCCGCCCCCCCCCCCCAGGACCAGCACCCCGACAACATGCTCAAAGTATGTGAGAAGTGTCACCATTCTTGCCTCTAGGGGGAGCCTAGCTGCACTGCCTCAAATGCAGGATGGAAGGATGGGCATCCAATAGACTAAGGCGGTGATGGGAGGTGGGGGAGAAGGAGTGTTGGGCCTGAAGGGAGGGAGGCAGAGGCCGAAGGTTGAAGGGGCTGAGGTGGAAGGTTATGAGTTATGGGGAACAAGGGGTGGAGGATGGGGAAGGCACTGGCTTGGGAGCAGGGTGTGGGCACCAGGTGGCAGGAGATGGATAGAAAATGTGAGAAAAGGAAGGTGCAGTACAGAGGTTGGAGCATCTGGACTGGAGGTGGTGGTGGAGATTTAAAGGAGGAACTGAGGGGTGGTGGGGGCTGGGGCTCACCCAGGAGGGCACAGTGCTTGACGGCCCAGCAATAGGCATAGAAACACTCCTCAAGGGCTCGGGGAAAAGGTGCCTCGGGGGCCAGGGAGTAGTCAATGGAGAGGATGGGGGCACCCAGCTCCTGCGCCCAGGTCTTGAGATAGGGCTCGTGGGACTTGGAGGTCTGGGCCACGAAGCCACCTCCATGGATGTGCACCACCAGGGACCGTGACCGGGGGGCTTGCTGAGGGCGTGACCGCAGCTCCAAGCTCCGCGGGCCCTCGTACTTCACCAGGCGGCTGAGCTCCTCACTGTCCTGGATGGTGAGGAGGGAGAAGGGGGTGACACATTGGACCTGTCTCTGCCAACCTCAGAGACACAGGGAGGGACGCAGGCAGCAGGGGCAGGGAAGCAGGCAGGGTGTCAGAGTGGGTGTGTAGGGGCTGCCTGTACCCTGAGGCTGGGGTCCTACCTGTCCTTCTCTGAGGTCATAGGAGATGAGCCGGACAAGAACGGGCCCGGGGCCGGTGTGGGCCAGCGGGGGCGATATGGTGACAGTGAGCCTGGGATCGGCAGTCAGTGGCATCTCAAAGGCCTCGGGGGGCAAGCTGAGGAGGCGGCTGACCCTCACGGTGGCTGATGCCATGTTGGCCAGAGACTTGGAGGAGGAACCAGAAGAGATGTTTGGTGAGGAATCCCTCACTCCCTACCTGCCCCTGGGTCTCCAGCCTTATCTGTGGGCTGTCGACCAGTGTGGGTATGTGTCTGGGCCTCTGTGTCCCCGCCTGTGACATGTCAGGGTTCATGCTGGACCCCACACTCACCGACAGCACCTCGATCTCTGTAATGTTCCAGAAGGCTTTCCAGAAGTGCACATCCAGGTTCTGAGTGATCCGTTCAAACTCGGCCCCACGCAGCTCGGGGTCGATGGCGAAGCGGCCACTGGTGAAGAGGGAACTGGCAGTCACACCTAGGAGTTGGCAGGGGTGTCAGGGTACCCAAGGGGAGTAAGGTCACAGGGGTGGGAGGTGAGGCTGCAGCACACCCTGCAGACTCACCAAGGCCGGTCTCATTGCGCTTGTAATGCTCCCCGAAGGACACCAGCCCAATGGCGATGGTCTGCAGGAACGGCCGGATGGATGGCGTGAACTGTGGAGAGAGGGACAGGCAGTAGAGGCAGGGGCGCGGGGAGCTGTGCTCGTTCACCGGCTGCTTTGTGAGCTGGGCTGTGCCAGGCCCTGCCGTAGGTGCCCTTGCGCAGCTGCTGTTCTTGAAGGGAAGACGAGTAAATAGAAACCTACACAACACATGCCAAGTAATGAGGAACGGCTTGAAGGAAAAGACAGCAGAAAAGGTGAGAATCATGTTCAGAGACCAGGCAGGTGGCCTAGTCCATAGGGAGTTGTGCTGCTAATCCTAAAGGTGTACCTCTCTGGTGGTTCGAATCCACCAGCCGCTCGAAGGAGAATGAATGGGCAGTCTTTCCCCTGTGATTTACGGCCTCAGAAACCTGTTGGAGTGTCAGCTCTGAGTCAGTTCTAACTCGATGGATATGAGGGACCAGGCTACTCAGAAGAGGACTGGAGGGAGTTCAGGATGAAATGCAGGAAAGGTGCACTGGACAGAGGTGTCCGGGTGACCCAGGCTTGGAGAGGGCCACCACCAGGACCTAGTGTAGCTGGAGCAGAGTGGTGGGGGGCAGGAGGTGAGGCCAGAGGAGAGGGCTCAAACCAGCCAGGGCTGTGGGCTCGGGCTCTGGGTTTCCTGCTGAGTGTAGAGTGGAGCCACTGGATGGCTGTGAGCTTCAGAGTGAGCCAGTCACTGCCTCATAAGAACAGAGAGATGGGGTGAGGCGACAGAGAGGCCAGGAAGACAAAGGGCAGATGGTCAGAGACAGCCAGGGATGGAGATCTGGAAACAGACAGCCAAATGCTCAGAGAGAGGGAGTGCTGGACATATGAGGAGATGAAGGCAAGTGAGAGGACAAGCAGTTTGAGAGGGCAAAGGTGGTTAAGAAAAGCTACAGGAAAAAGAAAAGAAAAGCTGTATGGAGATAATATCAGACAGGAAAAAGCCACAGGAGGCTGAGGTGGGGTGGTTTAGGAAGCAGCCCTGACAAGGGGACAGCGAGGGCCTTCCGTCCATTCAACAAATGCTGGCCACAGTCCTACTGCGTGCTAGGTGCTGGGTGGGGAGCTGGGACTGAGCAGGGACACAGCTGTTGGAGCCTGTCATCCTGGGGAGTGACATGTTAGAGGCAAGGCAGACAACACATGAGGGTGGGGTACATGGTCCTTCCTCTCACTCAACAGAGCAGGGCTATTGGGAAGCAGTGCCAGGCATGGCCTTGTCTCTGGCTGGGGCCCCAGTGGGCCACAGAGTGGCAGCAGTGTCAGGCCATTGTGGCTGGAATGCTGGCTCTGGTGTCATGCTCTTGGGACTGCCAAGGTCAGGAGTGGTTGCAGGGAGGAGCCCACTCACCTGAGCAATGCTTGTGGTTCTGCTGGGTGAGGGGAGTTCTCAGGAATGTGTGGGGGCTTGGTTGCTGAGGAACAGGCTGGTCCACAGGGAAGTGAGGGGAGGTGGAGTGAGATGTGGGTGTGGAGAGACTGCTAAGCTCAGTTGTCTCTGGGATGGGGACTGGGAGGAGAGGTGGAGGTGGAAGCCCAGAGAGGTTCAGGGACAGCCAGCAGGTTTCCAGCTCCAGATATCCCTGCTGGGATCCCGTGATGCTGCTGTGAACTGGCATACTTAGCAGGGACCACAGATAGGGGAAGTTTGGCCTTTGTTCTGAATTCATGATGTAAAGGTCCTCAATTCTCTGAGCCTTTGAGCCACTTCCCACATAGGAGTCTGAAGACCTGTGGGGCCTGGCCTCCTTCTTGGTGAGAGCGCTGCATCTCTGAGGAAAGTTTAGGGTGAGTGGAGGGAGGGTGGTCAGGATGGCTGGCCCATGTCTTTCTTACTGTCCCTGTGAGAGAGGTTTCTTTGTGATGTCTCATAAATCTCTTTCCCAAACTCAAACCAAAGCCATGGGGTCCATTCCAGCTCATAGCAACCCCACACAGCCTGCTGGATGGAGTAGAACTGGCCCAAGGGATTTCTAAGGCTGTATATCAATGGTCACATCTGGTGGATTAGAAATATTGACCTTTGCATTAGCAGGTGAATGCTTTAACCACGGCATCACCAGCCTAAAAATCCAGTGCCTCAGGGGAGCAAAGCCAGGAGGAGTTGCATCTCAGAACCCTAGCTCTGGGCTCCTCTCCTCAAATCTCCTTGCTTTACTCTCTAAAAAAGGGGTGAACACTGTCATTCTTTCCCACAACTCCAACTGGATGGCTGTTTGAGCCCACTTTTGAGGCCAGGATCCTCAAAAACAGGGGTCTGGCTGGTAACATCAAAAAAGTGAACCAATCTTCTGAGTGGAGTGTATGACAAAAAAAAATGAGTGGGAATTGTGACTGAAAAGGGAAAAAAAAGCTACAAAAGAGAAATAATTCTCACTTTAATGAAACTATGGACTCCCAGAACAATCTGTCTTGGAGGAGTGCAACCAGGGTGTTCCGTAGAGGCAAGGATCGTGGAACTTTGTCTCACATTCTTTGGGCATGTTGACAGAAAGGGACATCATATTGGGAAGGTCAGAGAAAGACCCTCAATGAGCGGGATTGACCATGACCTTAACAGTGGGCTCACGTATATCAGAGATGATGAGGACGGGACAGGACAGGGCCAAGTCCAGATCTATTGTTCATAAGATTGCTATGAGTTATAATAACTCGATGGCACCTAACAAGAACAGCAACAATGTGAAACTTGTACAAACTCGAACTCAGTGTTTTTCTGGGTCTCCTAAATTGTCACCGTTTGATAGGTTGTACTTTTCCATTGCTCCCTATTAAGTGGGACATACTGGAGTTTCCATTCTCTACCACTCTGCCTTACAGGGCCTTGGCTTGTTCAGGTTTTACTGTACAAGGTAAATTCAACTCTGGGGCTCTGAGTTGGAAAACTCTGGTGTGATTTTCTCTTGAGTCCTAACTTCCCCTCTCTGTACCTGCTGTTTTCTGATTGCAATCATCCTGACCACAGTGGTCCTTGTACTGTGCTTATCTGATCAGGTTAGGGGCCACCAGGTGCCCGTTCCATCAGAAGACCCAGAGGACTTACCTGGAAGCCCAAGCAGCGGCCGTAGAAGCAGCCTTTGTGTAGTGTGACATACTCGCGCAGGAATTCGGCCGTGAGCCCTTCATCGCCCTCGAAGAAGAGGACCCCAGGCTGGTTGGTGGCCAGCAGGCTCTGAGCGTAGTAGGACAGAGCACGGAGCTGGGTGAGGGCAGCCAGGTAGGCCTCCAGTTCTGCCAGGTTGTGGCTGGCCCGGAAGAAGATGCTGCGCCGGTTGGCGGCCACGTAGCGGGCTTTGTAGAGGAGGTGCGCCATGCAGCAGCGGGCTGTGTGCACGAGGCTCCGGTACCCGTTGGCTGGTGTCTCTGGGTCCAGGTCAAAGAGGTGCACCGCACCCAGCAGGTGGTTCAGCGCTGGCTCTATCCCCAGCACCTGCTCCCGCACACCTGCAAAGACGCTTACCAGCCGCCGGGCTGTCTCCCCAGGACCCTGGCTGGAGAAGAAAGTCATGTTGTCCTCTGCCAGAGTCACCAGCGTCTGTGTCATGGTGTGTAGGTCCATGTCGTGAGAGAGCCGAGCGGCTGTGGACAGGAGGGGCTCCATTAGGCAGGGCTGGATCACCCCTTGCTCAGCCTAGGCCCGGGCATTCAAATCCCTCCTTTTAAGCTATAGAAGCCCTGGTCTCCAGCCTTCTCCCTCAGACCCAGGAGTCCAGACCCTAGTCTCCTCCCCTCCTCAGACCCAGGAGTCTAGGCCTCCAGCTCTCTCTCCTACCTCACACCCAGGAGTCTAGGCCCCCAGCCTCCCCCCCTCAGACCCAGAAGTCTAGATCCCCAGCACCCTCTCCTCTCTCAGACCCAGGCAGTTACCCTCTTATTTCCAGGACCCAAAAATTTGGGACTCCATTCCCTTCTCTCAAGACTCATGATCCAGGCCGCAGTCCCTTTCTCCCTTCTCAGGAGGCAAGAGTTTGAGCCCTCAGGTCTTTCTCCTTAAGACCTGGGCGTCCAGGCCCCAGGCCACTGCCTTTTAGGACTTATGAGTTCAGGCCTTCTGTTTGGGGCTGGCTGCCTCCCTTCCCTTGGACCCAGGAGTCCAGACACTCTCCTCAGCTCACAAGATCTGGTTTCCTATGCCGGCATCTCCTCTGTGACCCAGGGATCTGCCTCCTCTTCCTCCTCCTTCCAGGAACCTGCCTCCAGTGACTCTCCTATGCCCCAGGAATCCAGGTTCCTCAGAGAAGTTTGAACAAGGCTCCCAACCAGTCTCCTTTCTTGGGATCCATGAGTTCAGGACCGCATCCCATCTTGACCTCTCATTTACCTTTCCCCTCCACCAAAATGTGGGCAAGTCAAAGGCTAGCCCACAAATCTCCATCCTTCTGGTGGTGCTCCTAGGATTCTAGACTTGCAGGCCTAACTCCTTTCCTGAACCCAGGAGTTCCTAGTTGTCTTTACTTGAAATGAAAGTGCAAGTGCTGTCTGTTCTCTCCCACTGACTCCCTCAAGCCTGGCTGCTACTGACTTGAGCTTACTCTGCATCAGACACTGTACGAAGAGCTTTCTGTATGTCTGATCATTTTGCCCTCACTCATCCTCTAAGACCCTTACTGCTTAGGTTCAAATCTCAATTATTATTACTGCTGCTGTTGTGTGTCACTGAACTGGAATCAACTCATAGCTGACCCTCCAGAGGGTTTTCAGAGGCAGTAAATCACATGGGAGGTGACTGCCTCTCTCCCTCCCACAGAGCAGCTGGGAGATTTGAACCACCTGCCTTTGGGTTGACAGTGTAGCTCTTTACCCACTAAAGCTCCCGTTTTGTCAGCATCCCCAATTTAGAGGAGAGGAAACCAAGGTTCAGGGGTGTTAAGTCTGGGGTTGAAGGTTGAGCTGAGAGTGGCAGAAGTCCACCAGCGCCCAGATCTCTGGGTCCAGAGACATTACTCACGCCGTCTCTGTGCCTCCGTAGGCTGGCCGCTGTAGGCTGGGCTTCTTGCTCTCACTTGGAACCCTTGCTCTCAACTATGCCCGACTCCGTGTAACCACCTGTTTCTTAGAGGCTGTCACTCGGCTCCTCTCAGAGAGGAAGGCACCCTTTGCTGAGAGTCCTCCCTCTCTCGAGCCCCGTGCCTGGGCCCAGCTCCTTGTGCTTCCCTCCCTGGCGGCCTTGGAGTCCAGGGATGGTCATTCCTCTCGGCAGCGGTGCACTCACCCCTCCCAGGCCTCTTGCAAGCTCCCGGGGGCTGGGAAGCCAGACTATGGCTTGTGCCACTAGTAGCTTGGGGCGATAAACCAGGGGAGGGACTTTGGCTGTGCAGGGTGTGGCCACCCACGCCACCTCCCACCCAGAAAGGACTCAGAGAACCACGTGCTGTAAACAGCAGAGCCTGACTCCCTGCCCCCTCTGGCTGCTTCCAGCTCCAGCTCAACTGGGAGACCTTGCTCAGAGAAGAGAAGGCCAGCCTCCCAGCCTCCTCCTCTCCAGGACCCTGGAGTCTAGGCCCCAGATTCCTCCTCCCTCAGTCCTAGGAGTCCAGGCCCCTGGCCCCCTTTTCCTTCAGACTTAGGAGTCCTAGACCCTGCCTTGAACAAACTGTCTCCTCTCACCCAGCCCTCCCTCTTCCCAGAGTGGATTCAGGACACCATGGGCCCTGTGATCTCCACTTCCACCCCCCAGGCTGGCCCTGGCACAGCCGGCTCCAGCTGTTGGGGGGAGCAAAGGGGGTAGCTAGCCCTGTTTGTCCCTCCTGGGAGGACAAAAGCCGATTAAGGGCAGTGCCAGTCTCAGAGGCTGGGCCACAGGGGCCCAAGCCACAGGTCCTACTGGGTGCTGTTCCCATACTGGACACCCTGGACCTGCTACTGACCCGCCACTGGCTGTCTGCTGTGACTGTCATTTTCACCTTACATCTAGGGAAACTGAGGCTCAGAGAGACACTCACCTGCATTATTTAGCACCCTCTTCACTGCTCCCACAAGCATTACAATCCCCCCACCACAATTATTTCCCATCCTAACACTTGGAGCTTGTCTCTGGAACACTATACCTTTGGCATTTATGCCACACTTGTTTGTTCATGCCTGCTCTTTATCTATCTCCTTCCACAGGAGGCCCGGGCTTTATTGAGCTGTGTCACTTAGCAAAAACATAACCTTGTTTTACAGCTTTGTTGTTATTTTTATTACAAATTGAAGTCTGTGGCAACCTTATATTGAGCAAATCTAATGACACCCTTTTCCTAACAGCAGTGCTCACATGACACCACAGTGCCACATTTTGAGAGTTCTCAGGATATCTTAAACTCTTTTCAGAAAGCCGCCGCATGTGGAGGGGCACGTGGGTGGACCCATTCTCCTACTTTTCAGTTGGGTCTGGCTCCTGGCGGCCCCCCATTGGGTTTCTGAGGCTGTATATCTTTATGGGAGAAGACTGGCCTGTCTCTCTTCTGAGGAGATGCGGTTGGATTTGAACTGCCAACCTTTCTCTCTCTCTCTCTCTCTCATTGCCATTCAGTTGGAATGCACTCACAGCTGACCCTCCACTGGGTTTCTGAGGCTGAAAGTCGCATGAGAAGAGATTGTTCATTTTTCCCCCCAAGGAGCAGCTCGTGGATTCAGACTGCCAGCGACGCTGGATCTTAAGTGCTGTGGAGAGCGTGCCATAGTGCTTAGCCCGATGGTCTACGCCCCCAGAGCTCTAGGGGCCTCACATATGACATGCTACCCTGTCAGAGCTCCTTGAACAGACTCATAGCTGAGCCTCCAGTGGATTTTCAGAGGCTGTAAATCACACAGGAGGAGATGGCCTGTCTTTCTCCCATGGAGCAGCTAGAGAATTTGGCAACACAACTCCTTACCTACGAGGCTACTAAACCAAACTCAACCCACTGCCATCAAGTTGAGTCTACTCAACAGACCTGCCATCAAGTTTCTGAGGCTGTAAGTACTTATAGGGTGAGACAGCCCTCCTTTCTCTGGGGAGTGGCTTGTGGATTGAAGCTACTGACCGTTCAGTTAACAGCTTGCCAGGTTATATGTTCCACACCAGTACCGCTGCAGTAGGGTGCAGACTGCAGTAAACACTGCCTCCGTGGGTACTGGGAAACCCAAACATTCCCACGCTTGCTTTTCGTTGATACTTTGGAGTCAGACCTGCAGTATCTTTGAGGTACGCCTGTACAATATAGGGATCCTTTGGAATAAAATCTGTTGCCGAGTGGTTCTTGCGCATGGTGACCCCACAGGATACAGAACTGCTTCCATGGGGTTTCCAGGACTGTAATCTCCATGGGGAGACCCTCAGCCAGGTGGGTTGACACAGTGAGTGCCACAGTGGGCTCCAGAGTGTCAGAAAGGGGAGGCTGGCACAGGATAGGACAGGCTCTGATGTGCTGTTTATAGGATTGCTAGGGGTTGTTCTTGACTAGATGACACCTAACAATAACAACGATCTTTATGAGAGCATATTGCCACATCTTTTTCCTGATGGTGAGTTTGAACCTCAGACCTATACATTAGCAGCAGGGGACTTAAGAAGACAAAATTACATTCTCAACAACAACTACAAAACCAAAAATTTTGTAAAAAGCATACAAAATTAGATATAGAGCTTTAGAAGGCAAATAAGAGGTCCTGAAGGTTTGGCATGATTTGTGTGGTTGTAGACTGGGTTTAGAAAAGGCCATGGCACTAGGGATATTACAGCTAACGTTAGATGGATCTTAGCTGAAAGCGGAGAGTACAAGTGGAATGTTTGTGTTTAATTCACTATGCAAAGGCCTTTGACTGTGTGAATCACTCCAGAACAGCTGATTTTGCTTATGTGTAACCTATACTTGGGTCAGGAGGCTCTGCTGGAACAGAGCAAGGAAACACCGCATGGTTCAAAATCAGGAAAGGTGTATGCTAGGGATGCGTGCTATCTCCATACCCTTTCAATATATATGTGGAACAGATCATCTGGGAGGCTGGGCTCTATGAGGAGGAATGTGGTATCAGGGTGGAGGAAGGCTCATCAACAACCTATGTTAAGCAGATGACACAACCTTGCTTGCCGAAACTGAAGAGAATCTGAGGCATTTGCTGCAGAAGTCAAAGACTGCAGCCTTCAATATGAAGCTCAACAACAAGAAAACAAAGATTCTTACTACTGGGCCAACTGGCAGCATCATGATAGACAGGGAAGAGACTGAGATTATTAACAGCTTCAGCTTGCTTGGCTCCACCTTGGTACCAGCAGCCAAGAAATGAATTGCATTGGGAAAGTCTGCTGTCAGGCAGGGACCTCTCCAGAGCACTGAAGAGCAATGATGTTAGTCTCGAGACTAAAGTGTACCTGATCCAGGCCATAGTCTTTGCAATTTCTTGCTTTGCATCAGAGAGCTGGACAATGACTAGGGATAATAGAAGAATCAATGCCTTTGAGTTGAGGTGCTGAAAAGTATTGAATATTTCATTGACTGCTGGGAAAACACCAGTTTGTCCTAGAGAGGGTGAAACCAAGTTGCTCCTTGGAGGCAGGGATTTTGAAGCTCCATCTGACAAACTTTGGGCATGTTGCAAGGAGGGACCAGTTCTTA